AGAGAGAGACACTTCTAAAAGAATCTTTGTGCCACAATCCTCCTCCAGCTTCAGCTAGCCCAGATCTTGGGCACACATGTGCTTAGTGTGACCAGGGATGTTGGTGGACACAAAACCAGAGCCTTGCCATGGGGTCAGCCTCCCTTTGCTCTCCCCCAGTAAGATCCTTATGCAGAGTGGGATTCATTCTCTTATTACATATTTGAATTGAATACAAAATAGTATAGGTTTCTTTGGTATTTTAATGCAACATTTACCCCAGTACCTTAAGATGTACACATCTACACACAAAAAGCACACCGCAGTAGTAATGGCTTGATGGCATGTCCTGAAAAAGAAGCAACACACATGAATTCATTTTCTCTCTGAAATTTTCTTCTTCTGGTCCCCATGGCCATGGTAGTTGCTGGCTACAGGGTGGTGGTGGGGGAACACGTTAATTTTTTCATTTTAGAGCTTACCCCCCCAGAGTTCTATAAATCTGTATGGAGAAAAGGTGTGGGCATATATAAATCATTTTCTGGTTTTTTTTATTTTCATTTTTTTTGCTTTTGCATAATGAACAGCCCACAAATAAAAATCATGTGAAAGTTTAAATCATGTATTCAAAAAATTATACCATCTAAACTAGTCCAATTTGAAATTTTATTAAAAACTCTCTTGCTTTGAATTTAGAGATCGAAGTAGCTGTTTTATCCAGTTGCTGTGCAGCATTAGTATTTACTGGACAAGATGTGTTGATTCAGGAGGTTGTCTGTGGAGTGTTTGCCCCACGAGGGTCATATTAAACTTGAGAGAAGCTTTTTGAGCCACAAAGCATCTTGGAGACAATATATCAAGCTGATAGATACAAGGCTCTTCTGTTAAGAAACCAGGGGTGGAATTATGGCTGACTCCCAGTTACTGCTTTGGTGCTAAGGACCCTCTAAGGAGTAGATCTAGAATAAAAGGGGTTAAGCAGAGGGGAAAGAAAGGTTTCCAGAATTCAATGTTTCTGAAAGCATACAGACTGAGTGGGTATATATAAATAATTTTAAAATAATCGTTCAGTTTATAAATATTTTGCCATTTTGTATGATCTTAGTGTGAGCAATTTCATATGGCATATTGTTTTATTATTTAAGAAATAATTTGTATTTTATTATTATTATGATACCTCCTTTCATGCATTTCTCTGTTCTTTCTTAATAGTGTGGTAATGCAGCTTTTAACACAAAAAGGGATTATCATGTACACATTAAAAACTGAGCATTTTTCACACTGATGACTTAGAAATAACATTAATTCAGAATTTGCATTGCCAATGACACTATAGTCTTTGATACAGAACAGTTAAACAAAAAGAAAATCGTATGAGGGATATGGTTTTAGCTGTAATATTAGGTCATTGGAAAAGTCACGACGTAGTTCTCTTTTTGTATGCAAAAATGAGTCATGATTTCCTCGACAACCCAGTGCATTATATGCAATTTGCACTGTTCTTTTTTAAAAAAATCTTTATTCATGGTAAATTGTGTGTGTGTGTGTGTGTGTGTGTGTGTGTGTGTGCACATGAGAGTGAATGAAAGAGAGAGATGACCACTCTCCACATGGTATAGTCCCCCTTTTTCCAGTCCTCTAGACTGTCAGAACTTGGGCACGGCTGGTGTGTTTCAGGATGACAGGCAGGGGATTCGAAATGCAATTGTTATGTGGGATCCAGCTCCTCTTGAGCTATGTATTACTGCTGCCCCATGAAGCCAGCCCTGCACTTTCCTTCTCATTGTGACTTTCAAAGTCCCCAAGATGTAGGTGCTGCTTATCCCTCCAACCTCTTTTCCTTTTCTTTCCTCCTTATTCAGTCTACTTCTGCCACTCTGGCCTTTCTGGATCATAAGCAGAGCTTTTCCCACCACACTGCCTTTGTGTGTACCACTCTCTCTCTAGCTGGATTCCTTCTTCTCCAGATGTTCTCATGGCCACCTCCCTAATGTCATTGAGGTCTCTGTTCAAATATCACCTACTGTGTCCTTCCTAGTAATCATCCTAACCCAAACTGTTATTTAATAACTGAAGTTGTGTGCTCCTTTTTCTTTTATCTTCCCTGACTCTGCTTAATTTTTCTCCAGAGCACCTATCTCTACCTGGTATCATCTTCTATTTGTTTATTGACTGTTCCCTGCACTTAAATGTAAACTCTGTAAGGACAAGAGTATGTCTGTTTTACTCAGTGTTGTTCTATCTCCACACAAAGAACACTACTTAGTACTGAGCAGAGCCATAGTAAAAGTGTATTGAACAAATGCATGAATTATTGATGACCTAAAAACCCCTATGACAGATTGATAAAACATGTAATCTATGTCTTCTAAGCTCATCATTGGTCGTTCATTAACCTCATTGTCTACAAGCATTTTCTTCTGAATTAGAGAGGATATAAAACTCACACACTGCACAAGGTTATGTATAAAAGAAAGTTGAAAATGGGCCCTGATATTTTATTTGTTTTCATCATTTTGATCATTTATCCTTCATCTATGGCCTCTAGAAATCCATGGTCATTAGGAATATATATTAACATATATTAAAATAATGTTTCTAACACATTACATTATTTTAATAGTTAAGGAAAGTTCAGATCATGCCAGTGTAATTGTAGTAATAGTACTATAAATAAACAACTAATAATTAAATTAGTAGCACTCAAAATAAGTTTCTTTATCTACCTTACCTTTGATCATCACAACAATCTTACAAGGGAAAAACATTAGCCCTATTTTAAAGATTAGAAAACATAGACTCAGAGTCATTAGGTGATTTTTCTATAGCCACAGAGTTTTGCTTAATTTGCTTTGGAGTCTCTGACTAGCTTTGGAATAAAAGCTGATGGGAGTGGTTCATTCAGGTAACCCCTATTGGAAAGATTAATTAAATAACCAGAGTCATTGTGTCAGATTTTTAAACTAGAATATGTTTAGCTTCATTCATTCCTGTTGCCCTTTCTAGAACCATTCAAATAGATTTCCTTGACAGATTATAGTAAGCTGATGTGCTGAATTCAAGACAGATTTACCAAAGATACAAGTAGACCATCAGAGCATCATCAGGGATGCTCTGGTTTGCAATATATTTAAGTAAAGGCAGGGGTATTGTGAGAGGCAATAACTGACTGTAAAATACACAAGTAAAGAAAGTTAAATTTTCTTTTCTTTTATTTTCTTTTGAATGTATTTATTTGTTTCCTCTGTGAGAGAGACAGAGAAACAACCACCTCACAGGGTCTTCACATTACAGTCCATCCCCAGTCTCAACCAGTCTTGATCATGGGCATGCACCTATGCATACAGAAGTCCCAGAATGTGAATTCACGACCTTCCCATGTGGGTCTCATTGCATAACTGCTGTGTTTACCACCTGGTCCTTAGTTTGCATATTTTAATGGGTGGGAATTGAGGGTAGAATATACTATTTTCCACCACCTCAATTTATTTATTATTCCAGAAAATTTCAATTTTATCCAACTCTCCTCTTCCAAAAAAATAAAAAGAGAGAGAGAGAGAAACAAAAAGCCTATTGTGTTTATGTGATCAAGGTGGCAGTGGGTGATTTAAGTGAGAAAAACGTAAGATCTGAACTGTATTAATGGTCAGTTGCTTGGTCTATTGAATGAAGAGTTAAATATAAAAGGTACTTTAATATTTGTTTCACTAGATTTCCCCCATATTTTCAATTAGATACAGGTGGGAGTGTGAGATATATTCATTCATCTTGCTCTTTGGGGGCTGGATTTTAAGACCGAAGTACTAATGTAACTGTGTTGAAATGAACAATAAGAAAGTACAGTAGTTCAGGAAGGAAAATGTTAAATTAAATGGACCATGTTTAACATTGTTGTTGATCCCGAGGAACAGTTTTTCCAGTATATGGAGCATTTCGATTCCATCCAGCATATGTTCTCCACAGTTTTCTCTGCTCTAATTCATCTGTGTTTTTCGACAGCTCCAGATGGCGTGCTGCCTCCCAGGCTTTCATCTGCCACTCCAACCAGTCTTCAGGTCGTCTGGTCTACACCAGCTCGTAACAACGCTCCCGGCTCTCCCAGATACCAACTCCAGATGAGGCCTCACAACTCCACCCAGGAATTTCTAGAGTGAGCGTTCTGCTTTGTCCAACCTTCTATCAGCTGGGTTATTCAAAGTAGACATATGCTTTTTGAAGAATAGATCAGTTATCTTTTCGAACAAATAGAGATTACCTTTTAATAGTTCAAATGAAAAGCAATAAAACAACCTAGAGGATAATTATTTGCTTTGCAAAAATATCTATTTCTTTTTTGTTTTTAAAGGATTTAAAGTAAAATTTCTTTATACTAAACTTTTTGTGAGCATGGGTATTGCACAAAGCAAGGATTACCTGAAATGACCAAAACCCTCTCTCAACTGTGGGTAGAAAATTATCATACCTATTCTACAATTTCCACACAGCAAACAGTCTCAATACTACTAGAATTTGCATCTCATATAAACACCAGATTACAAACCCTCAGCCAAATGGCCACTTATTTTAAAAGAGATGTCATTTGACAGCAGAAAATTGCAATATTTAAATGTATGTTGACCTTCCCTGAAAAAATTTTTGCAATAAGATTTACTTGCTTTTTTTTTGCTTTTAATACCTAAAACTTCTTAATTACTATTTCTTTCCCATATAGGTTATTTCCCAATCCTTCTGCATCGTTAAGTTATGAAGTGAGAGATCTCCAACCGTACACAGAGTATATGTTTCGGTTGGTTGCCTCCAATGGATTTGGCAATGCACATAGTTCTTGGATTCCATTCATGACTGCAGAGGACAGTAAGTGGTCTGAACAATACACAGCCAAAAGTCTTCTACATTAGGAAGTCTTAAATGTCTTCAGTTTTTCCCAAGGAAAAAAAAAATAAATGACCCTCCTCTATTTTCTTATTATTTAGTGACAACAATTTTTCTAGGGCAAGAGAGGGGGCAAAAGTAGTCAGTCTTTCCAGTAAGAAGAAAAAAAAATAGCCTCTGAGGGTTGGAGGGTGAGACCAGAAGAAGTAATTCACAATAAATCATGATATAGCCTCATTTCTGTCTTTTAGGGTACATCTAGGTATCCCACAAGAAAAGGTTGTCATCCTCTGCTCCATGACTGAATGTTCTCTGCTTTGGAGAAATTCTGTCAGGCAGAAGAAAATAAAATCTGGACCTTATTTCATGAAGATGCTCAGAGTGTCTATAGACTTGTGTTTGGAAACAGACTTTATTTTACTTTTATTCTCACCTGAAATACAGCCTCCATAATAGAGAACTATATTTAATGGCAATGATTCTGCATGTGTTACAAAGAGTAGATTGGGAACGCCTTATTTAATCAATAAAGATCATTTCTAGGTTTTCATTGACAAGTTATGTTTCCATTTTTTTACCAGATTATATTTGGAAAATATATACATGACTGTAATATTTGCTTTTATGTAGATTTTCTCTATAGAGGCATAAAGGATATGTGGAAGTTTAAATTTTTTAAAGAAAAGTCAGACATTAAATCAAGCTTTCCAGAGTGAATAGGACACTGTATCTTTGAACAATGAGGTTTTTAGGGTTAATCTTGTCAAGTCTTTTAATCATAGCCTTCTTAGGAGATGTAGCTTTGTTGGCCAATTTCCATTCTGGCTCTATCCGTTGAGGACCTGAGTGACTTTCAAAAGCTAGATATTAATTCAGAGGTATGGTATTTGAAACAATATCAATTGTGTATTAAATAGTTTATTTCTGTAAGACCTTTCATTGTGTTATTTTAGTGAGGATAAGACATCAAATGAGACAGAATCAGAATGACTTACCTTTTCTGAAGCTTACTTCATTTAAAAAAAAAAAAACACCATTTTAAGCAAATATATAATATATAATCTGTTTTTCCAGTTGGTAATTATTTCCTGGCAGCAAATTAGGCACTTTACAAGGGCACATCCAATGTTTTGGATCTCAAGGGAACCATTTAGTAAATTATCAGCACAGTACAGTAAATGGCACCCAAGGTCCAGGCAGCATTAATGCAACACCTTTTAGGGGAACCATTATACACATGCTGGGGAATCTGACACCTTGGTCACCAGTTGTCCTCAGATTTATGAACCAAAGAGCACATACTCAAAATAGACTTTTGAAGAAACATTAAAAAAAAAAGTGAAGATAAATTTTAAATCTACATAGATATATCAGAATGCTTGATGGCACTCAATAAAGGTTTACAAAATAATTTTTCAACCTACTGATGAGGTGATGGGTCAATAGAATGCTATGTGGGAAGAAGGAAGAAAGGGTTTCCTTTTTTGGCATTGAGATTTTGATTGCCTCCCCAAAATGGCAATAATAAGATTTCCACAGTCGTAATCTCCCCACAACCCTTACTCAATGGGAGCCATGGTCTCTTATCTATAGGCAAAAAGATAGCACATACACAAAGCACAAAACATTGCAAGGTTCCATTTAGCACAAAACTCTGTGGAGCAAACTTACTTCTCATTTCCTTTTACCACAAAACAAGTATTTTGTTGTTTGTTGGTTTGTTTGCCAGAGGGTGTATATACTCACAGGACTCACAGGAGAGAGACAGAGAAAGAGAGAGAGAGAGAGAGAAAGGGAAAATGAGAAAACATGCCCATGGGGGTGACCTCACTGCCATCCCCTTTTCCATTCCCCTTTTGGGATTTTGGTCATGGACACATGACTGGCATATATTTCAAGATGCTGGGTCCAGAACTAGAACCACACAGTCACCCAAATTGAACCCAGATGCCTTAACCATCCTACAATTGGGTGACCCAAAACAAGTCTGAAGGACGATGGTTCTAATTTTCATGCACAGAGATGCTGCCATCTTTGTGAGTTGTGCAGCCTGGATTTAAAGTGAGTGGTATTATTATTCCTTCATTTCCATTAAGTAAGAATCAGTAACCCTTGGTTATATAGCAGGTGTCAATTTAGGAAACCCAGCCACCATTTTTGTGTAAATCATTTCCCTGAGATAAATACATTCTTCCTTCTTCTGTCTTGTGTGTACACTGTAAAGTCATACAATTAGCAAAGAGCTGGAAGCTGGTCATTTGCCCCTCCAAGGTACCAGTGCATACTCACCTGAGACATGGTGACAGCATACTCTATATTTTGGATGTCAGGGGAGATGGATGCCATCTCTGAGAGGATGCGCAATTGAGTTGACAAAGACTGAGTGATTGGCATTGGGCACAAGCAGTTTTTCTGTCAAGGCTACAAAGCTTTGCTTATAAAACCACCCAGGCTGACAGCTCCATGCCAGAATTGCACTTCATACTTGATCCTGACCAGCACCTCCCACTCACCAAAGTGCAATTTTCAATGTAGAAATTTCACATATCATCTTACAGAATGGAACCGAGAAGTCACCTCATGCCCACATTTAAATTTCCTACCATCAACAGGCACCTTTCTGCATCATCCATAGCCTCAATACTTCCCAGAGCCCAAATAGGTCACCAGTGGCAATATTTTCAGTGTGATATTTCGAGACAGCGATTTTCGTCAAGCCCGTGACACAGCTGAAACTGGAAAGACAAACCTAGGCAGCAAATGCGCTAAAGCCAGAGAAGCAAATGCCTGGGTGCAAAGAGAAGTTCTCATGGACACAGAAAAGGACTGTGAGGAATTATAATAGCTTTAAAAAAAAATAATTTGTCATTTACAACGGTGTGCTACCAATATCCAGTTCCATGCATTTTTAAAAATCTCGTGTGCTGATGCCAAATAATAATAATACGCATTTCCTATGAATATTTTAAACCCTGTTAAATGCGTGTTAATAAAAGATGTTTGTTCCAGCCAGCGTGGTCAGTGTAGCGTTCAGCTATTTGAAACCAGATAAATACAAACAACACATGCTTTTGTTAATGTGCTTCCAGTAGTTCAAGCACCTGGCATGTCTTTAGCTTGCAAAAATGCACTAAGATTGTGTTAGAGTTGGGAAAATGTGATTAAGAAAATGAAGACACTTGCCTAGCTGCTGGAAATTTGGCTATCTTTAAACAAGACATAACCATCACTCCCAATTTTATTATGTTTTCCTCTCTAATATGTTTACGGTGGTTTTCTGTACAGTGCAGCATGCACAAGTTGTAATTGGTGGGGAAAGGAGGTTTCTTTGAACTTCAGCTTAAATGTGGACTTACTCTTTGGCTTACTAAAATCCTGCCTTTTGTAAAAGATGAGGTTACCCACTTTTCCTTTTAAATATGGATTCTCTAGACCAACAGAAGTCAGATAAGTGTTTTCTTCATGGTTTTCTAGGTTAGAAGATTGAAATGTGAAATATCTGATTATTTCCATCAATTTATTGATAAATATGTAGGTATATTTAAGCAAATATATCAAGCTAATGAAATAGGAATTGTTTTCTAAAAATTACTTCTGTACCTACAGAATAACTGAGTTTGTTGTAAACTATTTAATTATCATAATTTTTTAAAAAGTCATCATTTTTCCAAATTTATACCTTAACATTCCACTTTTATATTTTTAACCACAAATCAAAGAGGCATTATTAAGTAAAGTGGGATTTGTACACTTTATTCTGTAGGTTGGCTTAGGCGATTTTTTCCTGTTTGTTGTTTTGCTAGTAGACTACTTGTTAATGAGTTTTGAATCGAGTATGACAGGAAGATTTATATTATTACTACACAGTGGATTTTTTCTCTTTGGTTGGTTGATTGTTTTGTTTTCTACTAGAGAGTGTATGTGTTTGCCAGAGAGAGAGAGAGAGAGAAAGAAGGGAAGAAAGCACCCCTCTATGGAGCATGGCCACACCACAGTCTCATCTCCTCTATTTCTCCCTCCTTTCTGGATTGTGGGTGAACACACCCACATGCCTGGCATGTTTCTCTAACTGCTGGCTCAGAGACTCGAGCCACACAGTTGGCCATGTAGCATCTATCTGCCTTAACCCCCATGACATGGAGCCAGCGCATAGTGAGATTTTAAGTATCTGTTCTATTAACATACTGTATTCATTGTATTAGATCTTGATTATTTTTCACATTTCTAATTGCATTGTGAACAGAGAAAGGAGAAATATGGGAAATTATGCTGGTGTCTGCTTTACTTTTTTCTCCAAGCAACCTACATTCATCTTCTAGATTCTTACAGCGGTGCGCAAAAGAACAGAGGTTCTTTCTAAAATTAAAAAAAAAAAAAAAAAAGAAAGGGAACCAGCAGTTAGCGTAATGGCTATGTCGCTGGACTCCCACGGTCGACCGCGGTTCGTGTCCCGGACCCGGTGGCTTAAAACTCACGCCGGGCGCGTGTGCGTGCGTGCCCAAGATCCCGAGAGGAGAATGGAGGAGAAGGGATTGCGGCGTGACCATCCCCCCTGGGGGGTGATTTCTCGCTTTCTGTCTCTCTGTCTCTCTCTGTCTGTCTGGCGAGCACACACGCCCTATAGCGAAAAACCTCTCCAAACAAAAAAAAAGAAAAAAAAAAAAAAAGAAAGGAAATAAAGAAAGATTTTGCAACAATGTCCATTGAAATCTAGATCAAAAAAACTTAATTCTTCTCTTTTGTTGCCTGGCAAAATTCCACTCATTCACAAAGCTCTGGCTCAAATGTCACCTCTGGGAAGCCTTCCCTTCTCATTTCTTCCTTAGAATTTTGGCTTATATTTATTTGTAAATTATCAACATGCCCTCCTGAATTGTTACTTCTCAATTCCCAGGACACTGTCTCATTTCCATTTTTATCACCAGTTTCTGGTAGAGGGTCTAATAAAAAGCAGCTGACCCCAAAATTGTTAGCTGAAGTGC